GCTGTACTGAACTTTCTGAGTAAATTGAGGGCGCAATTGAAAACGATGGTGCTTAGCGAAATTTGATTGGCTAAATCTATGGCAGCCATCTTGGATGGTACACACACACAGTTCTGCGTATTTCGAACATCGAATACATTGCGGTTAGCGCTCTAGTATTCTTATTATATCTCTATGGGAATTACCTAATCCCAGAAAAAGTATACTATGGAACGCCATGCAAATAAGTAATATGGAACGTCATTTGTGACAAAATCGATTTATTCTTAAGCATTTCAACTGATTAAGACAAAGATTAGGGACTGGAACCCAGTCTAAATCAGACAGAGCGTTATCATCGATTCTTGTCACGTCTGCTGCTGTCACGTTCGAATGTTTGTTAGGTCATTCATGTGAATGATATAAAAATAAAACTGTAGGTACTGGGAGTGCTGCTGTCACGTTCGAATGTTTGTTAGGTCATTCATGTGAATGATATAAAAATAATACTGTAGGTACTGGGAGGCCTATTGCAGTACCAGGCCTGTGTGGAAGTGCAACATGTCGGGTTATACAGAATTTGTTCTAGTTTACACAATTCCCCTTGTTATACCCTGCATTTTGTTGGTTGCAGTTGTTAAATTATGGGGACGCTATGCTGTAAAAGAATCCCACGTAGCAGACGAGAGATTAAGACAACTTTCCCTGCCTGATGGGAGCATGGGGTTACCAGTCATCGGCGAAAGCATCGATTTTGTACGCGATGTAAGTTTTCGATGGAATATTTATCTCTTCGTTATTCGTTGACTTTGTTGGGCATAGTTTAGACCATGGAGGTATTATCAAAGATATTTAAGTTCTTTGGTATTATTGATAAGGCCCTATAAAAAATATTATTAGTTATCACCCTATCTGGGCAGGAAAATTGATGAGGGAGGGAGGTTTTTTTTTTTTAATTTTTTTTTTTATTTTGCTAAAGCCAAATAGGCCTATCACCCTTGGGTTATTGGCTGGTGCATTGATATTCAAAGTAAAACATGATTTAGATAATGCAAACAATATCTACTACAATGAAAATAAAAGAAATAAAAAAAATAATTTTTTTTTTTTCGGACTTTTAGTATGTTATTTGTATATTTCAGGAGCAGATTCCGTAAAATATTTCTTTAAAAATTACTTCTGTGTTCATTATAATTTTTTTTAAAGATTGATTGGTTCGACTATAAAGCTGAGGCAGTGTAAAACTGAAAATTACTCTGATTTTGGATTGAATTTTTGAATAGTTAACCCTCATTAACCCTAAAATGACTTGTTTATTATAATCCTCCATCACTCTTTAATTAATATCTGTTAAAATTAGAATTATCGAGTTTTATCCAATTTATGGAAATTCAAGTTGAAATATACCATACTTTTAAAGCTGATGTAAATGTTTCATTAAATTCGAAACTTTTTTTTAAAAATATTATTATGTTTGGTATTTAAAAGACCAATAAATTAGCTTCAATTTGGAAACATAGTGATTGACTGTAAGTAGTACGCATTGAGAAAATAACGTGCTCCTCCATTTCGCCATGCTCAATTTTTTGGTAAACTGAGCCTGATGAGCATTTGGTGGCGGGGAACACATCAGACTTCAAAGGCATCGCGCAAATGTTCTTCATGCGCTGCGGCAGCTTTGTTCTGGGATCATTTGCATAGCGCTGCGTGCGCGTAGCTTTTTCGAGTGATCTCCTTCTAAATAATACCTCCATGTTTAGACTAGGTGGCAGGCTCAACTCACCGGGTTTTATCCACCTGCCAGTCTGTGGATTATCTCAAGCCGGGCTGTGTTCCTACGGGTGTCTATTAAACGAAGACCAAAGACCCCCAAAAACGAAGACCTCTATATTTTCTCTTTTATTTTAATGATAATACGCCAGGCTGTCACAAAATCAAAATTAAGACATTTTTGGGCTTCGTTTTATAGACACCCTATATGAGTGTCTACAAAACGAAGACCTCCAATTATTTCTCTATTATCTTATTGAAAATATTTCAAAATCATCATAAAACAGTTGCCAGGTACCTATTTCATTATTTCAATTTATTTTAGCATTTCAATCTAGGCCTAAACTAAGTCACTGGAATAACTACACTATTATTTTTACACTCACCACCTGCACCAAAAAAAAAGAGAAAAGAATCCCCCTGTCTTCCCCTGGAAATTCTTTTTGAAGCAAAAAAAGTATGCTCATATCACATTATTTAGTAGCTAACCACCCCTCAAGCTCTATTTACCTTTGTGCCCCATCACCCCCTCCACCCCATTGCAGTATTCTTATGTATGCCATTGACTTTGGCCTGTATAGGTTATATTTCAGTGTTATATTTATAATGAATTGAAAGAAATACCTGAAGACCAACAAATATTACAAATATTATTAGGCCTTATTACAGTACAAAGAATCAACTTGAAAAATTATATTAAAAAAGTAATAAATAGAAATAAAATAGAAATAACGCACACAAATATTACAAATAAATACATTAAATTTAAAGACAGGATAAATTATTAAATTTAAATAAAGATCTAAATAATAAATGTACAAAAACTAATCAAAAATATTTACCCAACACATTAATACTATAAAAAAGTTTCAGATGTTTCTTCTGTAAATTAATGGATTGTATTTTATTACAACTATAGACGCAAAAATTTTTCATCACTCGGAGAGCTAAATATGGTGGCATTTTCAAGACCCATATCTTGGGGCGTCCTACCATTTTTGTGTCTGGCGCTGACAACATTCGGACGGTTCTTCTTGGAGAGTATAATCTGGTGACTTTTAAATGGCCAAAGACCCTGCACAAGATTCTAGGGGACTTTGCTATTGCAATGTCGTCTGGAGATCAACATCGCTGGCGCAGAAGACAAACCATGGAGTTTTTTAAAACAGAAAACATTGTTCAAAACGGGTATGTGGATCGAATCCAGAACTTTGTCCAGGTAAAATAATTAAAGAATTGTGAAAATATTAATGATAATAGTAATGATGATGATGATAATTTAATAAGAATAATAATATAATAAGGATAATAATATTAATTTTAGGATGATGAGAATGATGATAAAAATGGCAACCATGTTGAAAATGATATCAAAATAAAATAAATAATTATAGTAATAATACAAATAATTAGTAATTTATATAATATAAAATACAGTACATGATAATCAGAATAATAAAAATAAATATGCTTATGATAATGGTGATGATGTTGGTAATGACAATAGTGGTGATGATAATGGTGGTTTTGGTGATAAATAATGATGGTGGTGGTGATGGTATAATGATGGTTATGGTGGTGATGGTGATGATAATGATAGTGATGTGGGTGATGACGACAGTGGCAGTGAAAGTAGGGATGGTGCTGGTACTGATGTTGGGAAGAGGATAATTGATGATGATGGTAAAGATGGTGGTGACAGTTAGATTGGCAACAGCAGAGGTGATGATATTAATGGGCATGACAAGGATGATATTGATGATGATAGTATAAACTGTATATTTTTTAATCATCATAGGAGAAGCTAGATAGCTGGTGTAAGTCATCTATGGGGGGCAAGAATATCATTGTGTACACAGAATGCAAAGAGATGATGTTTAGAATCGCTGGCAATGTCTTGCTTGGTTTTGACTTTACCGACAATGAAGCTACCTATTTGACTGGAATATTCCAGGATGTTGTAGACCACTCCCTAAGCTATCCGGTATATTTCCCGGGATCAGGGTTATGGAAGGTTTGTATAATATCCAGAATTTTGTTAAGGGACAAAGAGGTTGACGTTAGAAGGCCCTAAATTTTTCTAAATTATTTAAAAAAAAAAAAATGGAGAGAAAAAAAATATTACTCTATATTCAAATTTAAGTCTGAGAGTGCCATTTCCGGTCATCTAGAGTGTCATAATCATAAATTTTCTTTACCGCGGCCCCAACCATGTATTTACTGCTGTTTGTCGGTCTGTCTGGGGTCAATGTTAAGGTCACGTAATGTGTTTTTCCTTTCTTTGGTATTCAGGCACAGGGCAGATGCACTCTATATACAGTAGTGCACTAGTGTTCATACATTTTTATTGAAGAAAGGCCACTCGCGTTCAAGTATTAAGTAATGTATTTTGTAATTTTATAGTCAAAGGAGACAGTGAGACACTAATTTTGATAATACCATTATTATCATATCTAATGTTTATATTACATCATGTTTTATTGATTTATGTTGTGAAATATTTATATAAGTTATCAAGATAATAGCAGAAATAAGTATTCGTTATTGTTATAACAAAGCCCATGAGATTTGAGTGTACAATAGATAGGATAATTTTAAGGCCATGACTTTTTGTACAGACTAGAGAGTAATACAAAAAAATTATCCCTACTCTTATTTGATACGGGACGCTGTTGGACACACTACCAATTCTGTTTGTAAAAGAGAAACCATTGTCTGTTAAAAATCCTGGTTTGTTACAAACAAACCATGGTTTGTCTTCAATAAAAAACAAACCATAGATTTGTCTTTCTATAAAAAGACAAACCATGGTTTGTCTTCAGTAAAAAACAAGCCATATATTTGTCTTTCTATAAAAAGACAAACCATGG